CCAAATAATTGCCACAGAATAAATATATTTTTTTATATATATATATATATATATATATATATATATATATATATATATATTAACACTTTAGTATACGTTTGTTTATACTTCTTTACTATCCAGCATCTCAGGCTAAAGTACTGTATGTATGTAGTATGAAGGAGTTCCTCAGGGTTCACTGCTGAGCCCTGTAGAGTTCTAGAACTTTACCCAGCATCCTCTTCGCGCTCAACATGGAGGAACTGACGGTGGAGGTCCGTGGCTCCAATGGAGCTTATTATAAGGTAAGTACTTCATTTCACTCCATTCTCTTTTACTGTACTCGCGCATTCGTACAGCGAGGATGATAAAACTTTGAAGAAAACATTGGAAATCGAGCTACATCGTGTACTTTCGACGCATATAAATAGTACTCGACTCAGTGGCTGTTAGCCGGTTAGCAGCTGTGCGAGGATAATATTTAAATAAGAAAAACATTACTAACGTTTATTTAACCTCGACTTCAAATACAAAAGTGGTTTGCATTAGGAGAAACTGAGTTTCACGGTTGGAATAACTGACTTTTGGTTTCAGTTTGTTTAAGTGTTATTGAGTATTATTCAGTCAGGCGCTCGGTTATGTCGTCTTTCAACGATTTGTATGAACAGAATCACAATGAATGCTTAGATAAAAGATAACACTACTCAAACACTAATATAAAATCAGTAATTGGGCTTTGTTCTTAATTTCAAACATGCTCTCGGTCATATTTGGTTTTACCATCATTATAGTGAAGCACATAATAGCCTATTAACCATTCAGAACCATTTATAATGAAAGTAAGCTGTTTAGTTGAAGTGAGATTGATAAGTGGGTTCATTTCAGCTAAGAAGACTCCAGGAAGCCAATATTCATAATTTAAGGTGTGGTCAGAAATGATCAGATCATATGCAGCTTGTTTTCTCAGTCCAGATTTTGATTCTCTAAAGAAACTTCCAAGCAATGCGTCTGTAGTTTGGTTTTGTGTAGTGTTTACTGTATACACCATACACAAGTCTATAGCTTTCTAGGGTATATATTAATAAACACAGTTGGAAAGTCTAATTGAAGTTATTATTCCGTCTCCATCTCATCCTTCAGATATTCAGCGCTGGTCATGTTGCTCAGGCTTATCTCAATGCATGTCAGCTGTTGGCTTTCCATCTGCAGCTGTCATTCAGCGCAGCAGATATTTCAACACCGCTCTATTTTGAGATGAGCTTTTTAGAGATACCAACTTACATTTTGGAGTCAGTTGCCATTGAGAGGCAGCGCGGACCACCTAGGATTGAAGTATTCGTTTATTTGTATATTGTAAATTGATTTTATATTTGATCGATCCCACCGAACAAAATAATACTCCTTTATGAAACATTATTTTAATGTTTTATTCATCAGAATGCTGTTATACTATACTATTGCTATTATGACTAAGTGACTTGCATGTATAGCCACACTTCAAATAGGCAAGCTCGCTGACGTCAAATCTCATTGAATGATTCATTGAAAAAGCTGGCCCATAAATGTTACATGTTAATAAACTACACTAGTTGTGTTATATATTTGTTCTTGTGTGATTTCAGCCGGGAAAACACAATTATACCATTTAAAAAAAAAAAATATTTAGTGTTGAAGAACTTTACTGTGTTTGTTTGTTTTATATGTTTTTGTAATTTGTGTTATAAAAGTATATCAAACGTTTTAAAAAATATTTATTTTGTGGTGGTTAGTCTTTTTAATCTCATAACGTTAGGACAAGTGCTATATTAGTATTATTTAAATATTATGTATTGTTAATTTTGAATTAGCTTTCATTTTTATATTGTTTTCTATATAAATTAATTTCACTTAATTTTTAATGAAACTTAAATTCTGTTAGCTGCCAAGGCAGCATTTATTTTTAAATTTTTAAATTTATTTTGTTTGTGAAAGAATAAAGCAATAAGCCACAGTGAAGCCGTGGTTTACAGTGAATTTTATAACAGCTAAGGGCCGTTGTTAGACGCAAAGCAGAGTGCCTAAAACCCCCTCAGCTGTTATAAATTCACTGTAAACCACGGTTTCACGGGGCTTATTGCTTTTATAAAACGTTTAATCCATACACGTAGTAAGTTTTCACAGAATAAAAGAGAGCAAATAAAGTGTAATGATAATAAAAACAGTATTCTTCCACCAAACAATGTAGCTCCTCAGAAACGGTTGTGGTTGCAACAAAGTGGTTACCGAACAACACACAGAAGTAAACAAAGGTGTGTGCTTGTAGAGTAATTTACAACAGCTTCGAACGCGGCTCAGCCAATCAGAATCAAGGACCAGAACAATCCGTTTTATAAAAATAGTTTTTATTTCAATTAACAATATGTTGAAGTCTTATTAGTTAACACTATTTTGGACCGCAGATTGATAATATAATAGTATTAGCGAATTCTCACTCACACTTGATAAAGCTTTTTATAAGTTTATTTACTTGTTTAAATGTTTTATATTTATTCAGTAGAGCTTAGTCTTTTTTGTTATTTTATTATTATTTAAATGCTATTATAGTTATTTTGAATTGATTTCTATTTTTTACATTTTTATATCATTTCTTTTTTAAATATGTTTTATATTTTACTTAAACTTTTTTCAGTTAGTTACCAAGGCATCATTTCTATATTTTTTTGTAACTCATTTTTATACTTTATTTGATTTCAGCTTTAATTCGATTAACAATAATCTTTATTGTTTTAGTTAACGATTGTAAGCCTGTTTTGTACCTAACTTGTATAATAGCATTAGTGGATTCACTTTTTAATAAAACTTCTATTTATTTATGTTTAATAAATAACAGTTTTATTTGTTTTAACAAACCTCATTATTCCAGGGCTTTGTCAAAGACGTTCACGACGACTCGCTCTCCGTTTCATTTGAAAATAAGTGAGTAGAAGCTAATAGTTTCCAATCATGACATTAATGCTTTTGAAATGAGCTTTGGTGGATGAGCATCATTATATGAAATTATTTTCTCAGCTGGCAACCTGAAAGACAAGCTCCCTTCAGTGATGTGCGGTTACCACCTCCTGCTGACGGCAAAAAGGAGATCACCGAAGGAGAAGAAGTGGAGGTGAAGTGGGAGATGTTTTTATTATCAGTAATGCACAGCCGTGAAGCTCTTAACACGTGTTGTTCTGTGTTCAGATTTACTCCCGAGCGAACGAGCAGGAGCCCGGCGGCTGGTGGCTGGCTAAAGTGTGCATGATGAAAGGAGACGTGAGTGTGACGCGCCTCTCGCTAAGCTTTCTGTTTCCTCTGAGGAGCTCCGAGTTCACTTTCACTTTTGTTTTCTGCAGTTCTACGTTATCGAGTATGCCGCGTGTGACGCAACCTACAACGAGATCGTAACGTTTGAGCGTCTCCGCCCGGTCAACCTCAATAAAGCTGTGACGGAGAGCACATTCTTTAAGTGTGCCGTTCCTGTCCCAGATGATCTCAGAGCAGCGTGAGTACGGGCTTCAGTGTGGGACACAAACATTACTGTTAATTAAGATAAGTAATCATTTACACAATCACAACCATATCATACCTAATGAGGTGCATCCTGGGATGTTGATATATACTAGTTATATCATATATTTTATATAATATTTACATAAGTGACCCTGGAGCACAAAAGCAGTCTTAAGTCGCTGGGGTATATTTGTAGCAATAGCCAACAATACATTGTATGGGTCAAAATTATCGATTTTTCTTTTATGCCAAAAATCATTAGGATATTAAGTAAAGATCATGTTCCATGAAGATAGTTTGTAAATTTCCTACTGTAAATATATAAGAACTTAATTTGAACAACTTTAAAGATGATTTTCTCAATATTTGGATTTTTTTGCACCCTCAGATTCCAGATTTTCAAATAGTTGTATCTCAGCCAAATATTGTCCTATCCTAACAAACCATACATCAATGGAAAGCTTATTTATTCATGATGTATACATCTCAATTTCACAAAATTTACCCTTATGACTGGTTTTGTGGTACAGGGTCACATATGGTATTTTATATAATATCTAAACAAAAACTCTTGTATTATCCCAACTCAGTTTTTGCCATGAAGATAGGCTTAGATGCTGACATGGCATTAAAAAGAAAGAACTACTAATACTACTATTAATATCTAAACAAAATAAAAGATGGCATTTGTATTTGGTGTTTTGTTTTTTGCATCTTTTTATCTCATACCTTTTGGATTATATATATTTTTATTATTATTCAAATGTTATTATTTTTATTAAAGTCTTGAATTTGTTATTTTCCAGTTTTCTTAAAAAAAAAATTTTTTTTATTAAATATATAAAAAATATAAAATATTAAAAAGAATTTAAAATATTTTCATATAAAAACTTAATATAAATATTTAAAAAATCAAATTATTTGAATTTGTAAATGTGTAAATGTTTGAATTAGCTTTTATTTTTATACTTCCAGTTTCTGTTTAGATTTAATTTATTAGGTTGTATTTGTTTCCAGTTATTTCAAGTTTTCCTAAAAAGAAAGTTAATAAAATATTTAAAAAATATTATATATATGTACGCACACACACATATAATTTCCTCACAATTTCACTGATTTAATCATAAGAAATGATCATTAATTTATTATATTATAAATTGTAAAAAAATTTAATATATAATTTTTTTTTTTTTTGGAACAACTTTTCTTATAATATTTTGTGACATTTTTGTAAGATTTTCTACTTGCGTCCATGAAAAAATAGCTGTCAGAGCCATGCTTTCCTGATCCTCTCCCATTGTTTCCTGTCGCCTCCCATACTTTGTAATAATGGCAGAAAGGCTAAAAAATAGAACTTAAAATCACAAAAAAGACTGTATTGCAGTAATGAGGATCACCACCGTATATTAATGACAATTTGGGTGTGAAAAGTGCTTAATTATCTTTCGTAAAAATATCCTATTTCTTTTTGTGAAAACTTTTTTCCCCATGAAATTTTGGTGCAAATCATAACATATGTATAATTGCAAGAGTGTTGATTAAAACCATGAACTGGTTTCTTCTTCGCTCGTGTTAGATGTGAGAATGAACAAGCCCACAAGGACTTCAAAAAGGCGGTCGGAGCCATTCGGATTGTTTACAGCCCAGAGCAAAGTGAACTGGTTGTGTTGGTGAGTCCCAGTTAACCTCGGCACTTCTGAAAGGAGGTTTAAACAAGACAAAAGCTTAACAAACATTATGTTCCCCAAACACCACTAGTCCATGAGCGAAGCCACCGGCAAGCTCGTCTCGCTGCTGAGTGACATGCATTTACGCGGCATCCGCACCAAACTCCTGCTCATGTCCCGGAACGAGGAGGCCACCAAACATCTCGAGGTAAATGGCAACTGCCACAATAATAATAACCATGCAGTGTGCAACTCAAAGTATTAAACCAGGGTTGAAAATGAACTCTGACTTGCAAACCAAGATTTGCACGCTTGAAATTGTATGTAGAGTACGAAGCAGTTGGCCTCTGCATTTCAAGAGGAGTTCACTGTGAGAGAGGACCTCATGGGTCTCGCCATCGGGAGCCACGGCAGTAACATTCAGCAAGCCAGAAAGCTGCCGGGAGTGACCGCCATCGAGCTGGACGAGGAGACGCGAACCTTCAGGGTTTACGGAGAGGTGCGTCAGCTTTCTGTGCACATTGTCATTACATTATACAGGTGCTTTGTAATGGATACGATGTGTTCTTAAACCTTACATTACAGACTGCTGAGGCGGTACAGAAAGCAAGGATTTATCTAGAGTTTCTGGAAGATTCAGTGCAGATTCCTCGCAATCTTGTTGGTATGCATTCTTTTTATTTGATCTTATTTTAGTTTTTGTTTTGAAACAAATTGTATAAAGCTTGAAGTTAATGTAAAATTATTTAGAGTGCACAAGTCTTATTTAAGAATTATTTATATACTATGTAGTATTTATTAATGCTTTTAATTCGTTTTATTTTCATATTTTCAGTTTTTGCTTTAATTCTAGTTTAAGTTTTACCAATTTTATGTATGCTTTCTTTTTGGCATTAATTTATTTTTTATTTTTCAGGTTTAGTCATTTTAATATTTCAACAAACTTTTTCAGGTAGTTGCCAATGCAACATTTCTAATATATATATATATATATATATATATATATATTTTAAAAGTTTTTAATATATTTATATTTGACTTTATTATACTTTATTTCTATGACTGATTTTTTTTTAAAGTTTTTGTTTCATTTAAGAGTCGCAACATTTTAGTGCAACATGAAATTGTTCGCAACAGGAGAACTGTTTATGTGATTTTGTATTTTATTTTGTATTTTTTGGGAGGGGGTAATTTTAGTAATTTTAATATTTCAACAAACTTAATTTGGTTTTCGTTTTCTCATTTTCATTTTAATTTAAAATTTTCATTTCTAAAATAAGTTTAGTTTAATTTCTGAACAGGAGTTCACTTGCAAAACGTAACATTTTATAATATGAGGTGGGAATGCGATCATTTTGCAAGAGTGTGTAAATGATTTGTGAGGGATGCACAAAGTTTCTCAAGGTACACCGAATAATTTTGTGAGAGAACACAAAAGCATTGAAATGGGGTCCGTTTTTTTTAAATATCATGTTGACTTTAACTGGCAAAATGGTTAACAAATCATTTCTCTTTGTAGGGAAGGTTATTGGAAAAAATGGCAAGGTTATCCAGGAGATTGTGGATAAATCTGGTGTAGTGAGAGTGCGCATCGAAGGCGACAACGACAACAAACTCCCACGACAGGAAGTAAGATACCTGAGAGTAGCACAGAGGAGAAGCCAGATCAATATAAACACATACAATAATGCATTTTTATTCTTAGGGAATGGTGCCATTTACATTTGTTGGTACGAAGGAGAGTATCAGCAATGTACAGGTCCTACTGGAGTACCATATTGCTTATCTAAACGTGAGTATTTACAGTACAGCCGCAGCGATGACCGGCCGCCGATGTGTTAGAGAAACTCGAGCGCTTGTTTGTGTTGCGCAGGAGGTGGAACAGCTGCGACTGGAGCGGCTGCAGATTGACGAGCAGCTGCGGCAGATCGGAATGGGCTACAGGCCCGTCCCAAACCGACCCGCTGATAAGGACAAGAGGTCCGCCACTGAAGAGAGCATCACCCATATCAACCGCTCCTACTCCGGCAGGGGCCGCGGCCGCCGGGGGCCCGCATACACGTCTGGCTACGGTAGGGCTTCCGTTTCTGGGTGAACCTCTCTAAATCACTCGAAAACACGTCCAGGTCATACTTCACCACATACAGGTGCATCTCAATAAATTAGAAGGTCGTGGAAATAGAGAGCCTCACCCATATCAACCGCTCCTACTCCGGCAGGGGCCGCGGCCGCCGGGGGCCCGCATACACGTCTGGCTACGGTAGGGCTTCCGTTTCTGGGTGAACCTCTCTAAATCACTCGAAAACACGTCCAGGTCATACTTCACCACATACAGGTGCATCTCAATAAATTAGAAGGTCGTGGAAATGTTCATTTATTTCAGTAATTCAACTCAAATTGTGAAACTCGTGTATTAAATGAATTCAATGCACACAGACTGAAGTAGTTTTAAGTCTTTGGTTCTTTTAATTGTGATGATTTTGGCTCACATTTCACAAAAACCCACCAATCTCAACAAATTAGAATACTTCATAAGACCAATAAAA